GCGCCTTCAGACCCGGCCCCACACCCAGAGCGCTTATCACTCAGCCTTATCGCTCAGCTTTGATGTGGTGGGGTTAGCTGTTTCTCCCCTTTTGTTTCTTGGGTTTGAATCTTGTCACAGGACAAAAAGCAAGGATGAAGTTTGTGCAGCTAGAATCTTCTAGAGAGGAAATCTTGTTTTCGATGCTTTGTACTTTCGCACCCAGGCGTGTCACAGGCTGCTTCAGGGTTACTGGACTTGTTAGCGGGTGGCGGGTCCCCTGAATTGGGACGCTCACCTTGCGGGGTCCTGGCGGGGAGCTGTCTGCTGCGATGGGCGGTAGAGAAGCGGCTTTTGTAGCGGGCTCTGCCGCCGCTGTCTGCATCTGGCGCTGGTGGTCAGTGTTTTCTGCCACAGGCTCCTTCCCCACCCCCAGAGCTCGGCCCTGACGCTAAAAGCAGTTAGCAGAAACTTGGCAGGAATGAAGGAAGAGATACTGGGGTCTCTCCTTGGGTTTTTAAGGAGCCCGCTGTGGGGAAAGAGAAACTGTGCCTTCCATCCGCTGGGCACTTCCTCTCCCAGGGTCAGGAAGCCTGCCTGACCACGTGTCTCGGGTGCCCAGCGGTGCCCACAGTCACCCCAGAGACCCCCTTCACCCCAGATTTCCATTCCTCACCCCAGAGGTCTCCCACTCATCCCAAAATGTGTCACTCACCCCAGAGGCTCCCATTCACCCTAAATTTCCATCACTAAGACCACCAGGATCACCCCAAATTTTTATCACTTATCCCAACACCGTTAGGCTCACCCCAAACTTCCACCACTTATTTCTGAGACCCCCTACCCACTCAAACTTTCCATCCTTCACCCAGACCCCCATTCACCCCAATTTCTGTCACTTATCCCGGAGACCCCCACTCACCCCGAATGTCCATCCCTGGTGCACAGTCCCCGAGGCTCCCTGACAACTTCCGGGACAGCAAGGAGCTCCTTATGCAGAAGGGGGCTGGGGGTCAGCGATGCCCTGAGGTCAGCCACCCGGTGTCACCTCCCCAGCAGTCACCGCAGCCCTTAGACTCCCCACCACATCTCAGACACATGGGTCTCTGCTCGAAAAAGCCGCTCCTCGGTCACAAGTTATGTTTCCACTTTGTCCCAGAGCCTCGCGGCTGTGGTGTGGGGCAGTGGGGGGTGGCTACAGATGGCCGCTGTGGATGGAAAATAAAACCATATTTTCCACAAGGTGGTGAAGTCTAAACTCAATTTAGAGATGGGCATTCAATCTGTGCCTTCGTTCGTTTTTATACCTCCATCCCATAAACTGTGATGCCCTCCCTTTCCATGGGGTGGGGGATGGAGGGGTCCTGGCACCAGTGGCACCGCATCACCTGGGGGCAGGTTGGAAGTGCAGAGTCTCCTCCCACTGCCCCCACCCCGTCTGCATCTTCCCCAGACCCTCCCCTCCGCGTGATTCAAACTCACTCCCAGTTTGAGAACCTCAGCTTCACTCACCCTGATCCCAAGTTAGCTTTGAATTGTCTGTCTTCTACTTCCTGCCCAAATTCTATTTCTTGTAAACCAAAGCAGAGGGTGGATTGTGTCCTAGACACAGTGCTTGCAGCATGCTTTCTTTGCTGTTTCGTGGTCTCTGGTGGTTCGCGTGCTGCTTTATAGCATTTGATGGTCCTTTCCTGGGGACACGGACGTTCCTCCGGATTCAGGGTGTCCTCCACTGCACCCTGTACGCATTTTGTTGATGCAGACAAAGTACTGATGGAGAAAGTCAGGGACTGTTTGGTTTGCCCACTAAGAAAATAACCGGTGGAGGCAAAACCAGGAAAACTTGTCTCCCTTTGCCAGACACACACACACAGGGTTCTCAGGATGAACGCACCTGAACAGCGGCCACAAACTTAATTTCTTTTTCCACCCGGAGTCTTTCCATGGACATGAAACGGACCAGTGAGCTGGCAGCCCAGGGGCCTGAAGCCCCCGGGGTGTGGGTGTTGGGACTCCAGGGGCTTTGGGTGAGGGGCGGGGGCAGAAGTATGGGAGCAGCAGCGATCAGCGTAATTGCTCCTCAACTGCCCGCCGCCTGGCTGCATCCTGCC